CTACAGCACACGTGAAGTCTTCAGCGTCCATTAACACTCACAACTCCATGATGGCTTCATGTCCGTGACTCACAGGTTCTCGGCTATGACTAGCTACATCTGACTGTAAACAACCTTCACTGTCCCCTGCAAACCTTCAGCCTGTACCCCATAGAGAACACATATTATTGTAGATGTGTTTACAGTGCCATTGCTTAGAAACATATTGCATAACCCTGTTCTACTGTTGCGTTGCACCGAGCACATTGAAAACAAGTCACATGCTAGCTATCACACCAGTCCATTAGCATGCTGATTGTTGCCTATCAAAGCTATAAACATTCATCCTATTGCTGCGTGACTTTAAGCAAGAAGGTATTTAGTGCGCCGTGGCCTAGCTATACATGTTACATTATATATCATAACTGTGGTACTTGATACTTTTTGACACATTCTCCTGTTTACATTGGTGCATCCCTTCTTGACAGAATCTGCCAATTTTATGGTCAGAGACACTTGAATGATATAAATCAGTTCTGCATTTTGTAAGTTTTGAGGTTTTCACAGCGATGACTATGAAGAAAGTCGTCTTCTGGGTTTTGGCGCCGTGTATTCTTCGTTTTGGCCGATGTTTCGGAGGAACGTATCGCCTACATCTTCAGAGCAGGTTCAGTTCTGCATTTGTTTCCTAACTTACGGTACTTCAGGCAATTTCATGCAGCCAGTGGCTTCAGACCTTGAAACATACTTCTGTCTCTCACATTTTCTCACTACCTATTCTGATAGCATGACAGTGCAAATTCACGATAACTCATAATGCTTGGTGGGGAGGGTTTACTCATCTTCCATCTGAGCATACCAGTCTCTCTTGATGTCACACCCCAGTCACAAAGCAGAAATATTTGTCAGAAAATTCTTGAAGTTCAAGACTGAAAAATGCACATTTGAATCAAGATTGAGAATTTTTTTCTTGATTTGATCTCAAGAATCTGAGACTCGTGCATGCCTAGCTTTAAACCTTATTGTCTGAAGCTGGCAACAACTTCACTTCCTTAATTGGTTTGTCTGTATGACATTTCAAATCATCTGTAAAGATTATGTCTTCCTGTTGCTTATAGATGATACGCAGTATGTGCCAGGTGATATACATCATCATCATCACATTGTTTTGAGGGACTCACGCTTCATACAATCAGTATCTTTGCTAACATACGTCGTGTGTTCAAAAAGTATCGAACCTTTGGTCAGCAGAAATACATTTATTGATTAGGAGGTACAAAACCCTAATCCCCTTCAATGTAGTCTCCTTGGTAATGCACAACCTTCTCCCAGCACTCCCGCCATTGTTGGAAACACTTCTGGAACGCGTCTTTTGGAATGGTGATCAGCCGGTCCATTGCATTCCTCACGATGTCTTCTCTTGTCTCAAATCGGGTTCCTTTCAGCAGCATTTCATCTTGGGAAATAGCCAAACGTCACACGGAGCCATGTCGGGGGAGTAGGGAGCCTGACGAACCACAGGGATGTTGTGTTTGGCGACGAAAGTCTGAATCAGATGTGCAGAATGGGCGAGTGCGTTATCATGATGGAGCTGCCAAGTTTTTGCTGCCCACAGATCCAGTCATTTGCACCGCACAGCATCACGAAGGCGACGAAGGACCTCCTGGTAGTATTCCTTTTTGATCATTTGGCCTTGTGGTGCGTACTCATGATGCACAACCCCATGGGAGTGGAAGAAAACGGCCAACATGACCTTGACATTGCTGCGGACCTGCTGTGCTTTTTTGGCCTCGGGGATGTCGGATGTTTCCACTGTGACGACTGCATCTTGGTTTCCAGGTCGCACCCGTAAACCCACAACTCATCGCGGTGTTCAGAAAGTTGGGGTTACTGTTTGCATTGTCCAACATGTCCTGTGCGATTTCCAGATGGCGTTGCTTCTGCTCCATTGTTAGCAGTTTCGGTACAAATTTCACAGACACTCTCCTCATACCCAAATCCTAGGTCAAAATTGAATGTACTGATCCGATGCTTACCCCTATCTCCTTCGCAAGTTCTCGGACTGTGATATGACGGTCCTCCATGACCAAAGTCCGCACTTGCTCAATGACATTCTCATTTCGGCTTGTTGAGAGTCTGCCTGAATACGGTTTGCTGTCCACTGATGTGTGGCCATCTTTGAAGCAGTTGTACCACTCCTTTATCCGTGAGTTGCTCATGGCGTCATCCCCAAAAGCCTGTTGAATCTTGTGAATGGTTTCCACTTGGGTATCACCAAGCTTTTGGCAAAATTTGATGCAATATCACTGCTCATGTTGTTCCAACATTTTACACATTACTGGAATCCGATGTGCGCTCACTACACGTCCTCACTCATAGGCCGACTGCCAGCAACTGACGCTTTCTGTGCAGGCGGGAAAAATTCATGACTGCGCATGAATGTCCCCTCCACATCTCCACCAAAGGGAGCCTCCCGCACTTCATTGGTTTACGCGGGGAAAAAAGAAGGTTCGATGCTTTTTGAACACACCACGTATTACTAAGACTGCAGAGCATAAAGTTTTCATATTGTTGAAGCCTGATATTTTGTTTCACATTTTCTTCTTAAGGAAATTTTGGATATAAACCAAGGGGATATCTATACTGTGTACCTTCCTTGAATCATTCATGATCAAAGTCCCAGCTTATAATTTTCTAATTGTCACTTTCTTCCTCATCTTCTTTAACTCCTACAGTTCATTTTACACATTGTAGTTACGCAACTACATGAGAGAAAATGATGATATGACAGCGAAGGAATGGAAATGGCCATATTGAACCTGGTCTTTGAGTTTTGGCATAACAATATACTCGACCTTTTATGGAGATGGAAAGTATTTTACTTCTGTATTATGCTTTTTATTTAAAATTTCTTTTCTCAGGCACCAGTGGTATGTTAACTTGAAAATATTCTTTGTACTTAATATATTGAAAACAGTTGTTACTTCAGAAGCTAGGATGTACATTCTTATATGATGTTATTGGAAGTTCAGTTTTTTATCATAGATTTTTCAGCAAAATGCTTCTTCCATAGATACACAGTGTAGAAATATGGTGTATATGTTGTGTGCAAAGTAAAACTTATATAATGAGTGTGTGCTTTCAGTATTCTGAACTTGTTCAATCATTATGTGACAATAAGTGTAGCATTTTTTATATAATTCCATATGAGATTAATGTACAAAATAAAGATATTCTTTTGGTCCATCTTATGTGTATTCAAACAAGTCTGCATTTTTATTTATTTATTTATTGCATTCCTTCCAGTGCACCACTTTTGTTTTATCTGTACTTATAAATAATGTTTGTACAGAAATTTATGTTGGATTCCAGGTTCTCACAGTGGGGACTATAAAGAGTGCAGTCTTCTGGGTTGTAACACCATGTGATGAAAAGAGAGCCTGACATTTCAGAGGAACTTCACCTCCATCTTCATGGTCAAAAATAAGCTGAACAAGAAACTTGTTTGGCTTACTCTCTAATCTTGAAGATGGAGGCAGGGTATTCGGACTTTTACAGGTACCATATGGTAGATGTATTTCCTGGCATGTTACATCCTTGTCTATTCTGAAAGAATTTTTATAGTATGAAGTTATGTGCTTTTCAATTTTGCTTTAGAATATACCATTAGGTAGGTCCAAGAAAACCAGGTGGGACTGAAGTTAAATGGAACACATCAGCTGTAGGTCCGTGCTGATGTTAATATGCTGGGTGATAATTAGATACCAAAAAGAGAAACATACAGAGTTTATTTGCTGATAGTAAGGAGGTTGGTCTAGAAGTAAACACAGAGAAAACTAAGTATATCTTCCTGTCATGTCACCAGAATGTGCGGCAAAACCATGACATAAAGATAGCTAACAGACATTTTGAAAATGTGACACAGTTCAGACTTTTGGGAATGGCTATAACAAACTCAAACCTGATTCAGGAGGAAATTAAGAGGAGATTTAATTCATGTAATGCATGCTACCATTCAGTCCAGAACCTTTCATCCTCTTGTCTGCTATCTCAAAACATAATAATTAAAATATACAAAGCTATAATTTTGCCTGTGGTTCTATATGCATGTGGAACTTGGTCTCTGACGTTAAAGGAGGGACATAGACTGAGAAGAGGTGTTGAAAATGTTTGGACTGAAAAGAGATGAAGTGATGGAAGACTGGAGAAAACTGCAAAGTGAGGAGCTTCATAACTTGTACTCTTCTCCAGGTATAATTAGAATGATCAAGTCGAGGAGGAAATGGACAGGGCATGTAGCATGAATGGGGGAGAAGACGAATGCATATAGGATATTGGTGGGAAAGCCAGAAGGAAAGACACCACTAGGAAGACCAAGATGTAGGTGGGTGGACAATATTAAAATGGATCTTAGAGAGACAGGATGGGATGGTATGGATTGGATTGATCTGGTTCAAGATATGGGCCAGTGGAGGGCTCTTGTGAACATGGTAATGAACAGTCAGATTCCATAAAATGTTGGGAAGTTCTAGAGTAGTTGCACAATTGGCAGCTTCTCAAGAAGGGCTCAACTCCACAAGTGAATGAGTGAACTTATGTCAGTAACGGAAACTTCTGTATATTTGTGTTTGGAATTAATTTGTACGTATATGTTATCATGTTCTGAATCTGATGTGGCATTTGAATGAAAATTTTCAGAAGGTCAGTTCTACTATATTTAAATTCTTGTTAATGTTACTCCATCATCAGGGTCAGAGAATACTCCAAGCAAGGAAACCAGTGTGAAGCTGGAAAAAGCAGAGCACTCATGTTGCTACCTGCTTCACGCTGGTTTCTTGCTTGACGTATTCTTAGACCCTGAAGATGGGTACGACATAACTCTGTGAAACGTTTTGACTTTCAACAGACTAATCGCAGTTATGTTAAATATGATAGATTATATCGATATTTGAAGTCGATCATCGCCAGGATCGCATGGGTGTCAAGAACGGTCGAGGTGGGCGAGAAGGACAGAAAAAAAAAGAAAAAGAAAGAAAGAAAGGGAGAAAGTATATTGAGGTGTGAGGTGGTTCTGGTCACTAATCATGGCAAGTGATGGAACGAAATCAAATCCGAAAAGTATGACAAATGAACAAATTTTCGAAACTTTTCAAACGTTACGAAAGGAACAAGTGCGATTTGGTAATAAAATTGCGGAATTGGAATTCGATCTTCACGAACACAAGTAAGTAGCTCAAACATAACCTTGTTTGGCATGTTGAGATTGATATTCGACCAACTGGAGTTTCACATTTAAAATAATCTGAATTTTTTCATAGAATCGTCATTGATACTCTGAAAGAAGTGGATGGTGACCGAAAATGCTTCAATATGGTTGGAGGTGTGCTGTATGAAAGGACTGTAAAGGAAGTATTGCCCATTCTTATATCAAACCAAGAGCAGGTGAGATACATATGACTTCCCGTTTTTGTTATTTTCAGAATTAGATATGTTTACATTTAAGTGTAATATCTCAAGATATATTATGTACCCTGCAAAACAAAACGCCAATAAAAGATTGGCAGTCTTCCAGGAGTATTGGTAGTGTTAGACTTCCAGGCAGCCCTTTAGAGAGTTAAAAGTAGTACATATTTAGCAGATTTGTCGGTAAAATGTACTTTGAGGATTATATAGTTGGATATCTGTGTATAATTAAATGAATTACAATGCATTCATGAAGTAAATTTTGTTCATAACAACAAACATTACCATATTATTATCAGTCAGTTTTCAGAATGAAGAGAATTTTGTATAATCCTTCTTAAATAGAGGTATGAAATGTGTGTGAATTTCTAATATACAGAGGTACTCAGGAGCTATTTGCCAGTGTCCAACCCTCGTTTTTAATGCTATGTTTTCATTTTTTCATAAATAATGGAAACCTAAGGTTAAGTTTTGAGTTATGTTTGTAAAATGAACTTTCAGTAATGATGGGGAGTGCCTTCCCAAAATAGAATTTCACTGAAAAGTGATGTGTATTTACATTGTATGTTTCAGATTTCAAAGTATATCAAAGGTTTAACAGGAGTGCTAAACAAAAAAAGCCAGGAGCTGAATGAGTTCAAAGAGAAGTATGATCTTAAAATTCGAGGACAAGATGAGCCTTCCTCGCATGATGATGAAAATGAAGAAAAGAAGCCTCATACCGGCAATGTTTTGGTGGTCAATCCAATGTAGTTTCCTTGTCTGCCACACTGGGCTTTCTGATCTATTCATCATGTTGTGATAAGACAATTTACAAGAAGCTGTGTGAACTGTTTGAGTGTTAAGAAGGAAGCAGACAAAATTTTCTTGCTACATTATTAACTTTCCTATTTAAACAGATGATTATTACTAATGCAAATCAATATCTTCACTAACTAGGCTATTAGATTTTGCTGGTGCAGAGAATGTAGATGTTTGGCATAGATACTTGTATGTTTTAACGTTAAAATTAGAGTGGCTTGAATTTTGTCAGAAGTCTGGTATATGGGATACGGAGAATTTGGATATGTGGGCTCCTGAAGATAACTGAAGGGAGAGGTTAATTTAAAAGTGTGAATCTGAGCTTTTTATTAAGGTAAATGGTTAAAAGCTGCTATAAATATTTATTTCTTTTTTTTTTCTGTTTGCACATTTCCATAAACAGCACAGTTCCTATGAATAAGATATGCTCTCGTTTTATAAATTGAATAACTACTGATTAGTGGACACAAGTTTATGTTGCATGTATGGATGATAAGAAAGTGAACAAAAGCCAAGAATTTTGAATGAAAGTGGTATAAATAGTTTGTATGACAAGCAGGGAACTGAATTATCATATATGGCACTGTAAAGCACGTAGTGAGCAGAAGTTTGATTGTATAACATTAAGTGGTTATTTATTCTTTTAGTTTTCAACTGATTAGTCTTCTGTATTCAGTACATTCTAAAATTGCAGTATCAGAGGCTGTCATTCAGGTACCACAATTTATGAGCTCATTTGGACTCTTAGAGCCAGAACCTTTGTTTTGGAAAATTCTTATCATCAGTAAGAAGATGAAGTTTGTGTCCTTAATTAAACATCACGCCATGAAGATGAATAGGTGAAAATCATTACATGGGGGGGGGGGCAACTTACACTTTCTTGAACCAAAATAATATGGTGCAAACACGCATTGAAAACAGCAATCAATGAAAAGCAGGTGAACCTGTATGTACGAATTTTCAAGAAATGAGCAATTCATATTTACGAACATTGCACAGACTAATAAACCGTGACTCCAAATTGATTTAACGAACTCAGAACCCCACGCTTATGAACATTTTAACAAATTAACACTAACAAGTTTAATGAAATTAAATTAATAAATTCAACTTGACAAACACATTTCAAAGAACATATTATGATCATTATGTTCATAATTTGGGGGTTGCATGTAATATAGAGTTCTGTTTTCTGGGATGTAAGACTATGTTTTCTGTTACTGATAGAACTCTAGTCCCTACCCTGAGAATCACAAATCTAATAAACTAATTTGCTGCTTGATTATAATTTTGCAAATATAATGGAAGATGCTTTGTGTTGCAAGTTACTAAATTAATTATATTATTCTGTATGTAGTAAAATGTGCTTATAATGGGAACATATGCTTTTCTGGGGTGTGCTGGCACCTTAAAGAATCTTAGATGTGTGAATTGCACTTTGATAATGTGACATACAGAGATGGTGACTTAAGTACCTTGTATTTACAATATTATATTTAAGCATCCTGCTACACTCCATACGACATATGATACAAATTCCGTCCTAAGTGCAACAATTTATTGTAGGTCTTTCGTTTTGCCTTCTTCTACACTACATGTTTCGGACAAATATCAGCGAAGTAGATCCTGTTAGCCAATTGGGAAGACCTGTGTGTTTTTAAATTTTAAACTGGGTGCAGTGTAACAGCTACGTGAGTGTATACACCTGATAATGGCCATTTGCGGCCAAAAGGTGTAGTGTAGGAGAAGGCAAAATGAAAGGCCTACAATAAATTGTTGCACTTAGGACGGAATTTGTATCATATGACCTTGTATTTAATATTAAAACATGCTGGAAATATGCTGAAGACTAAAGAAAAAGCTGAACATTGAAAATTTATTGTAATATTTAATGCAATGCCTTAAATAATAAAAGATAACTTCATAATAATTTATAAACCATAATTAAGAGTTTTAAGAAAATACTTTCTTTGTCAGCATAACTCGTATAGTTGCGTGAAGATAAAAAGGAGATGAACTGAATTCACGTTTTTTAAATTATAAAAGTATCACTTGGGTTCATCTCTTCTTGATTTCTCTGGTGCGAGATATGTTTTAATGGTACAGAGATTACACATTTCTGGAGACTCAGACTAAGACAGCTGGCAGTGCTAGTTTTAACATTGTCATATGAAACTGTAGCCAGACTCTTTTTCATAAAGAGTCTTTCTTATAACTGAGTTATTTTTATTATTTTCCTGTTTGAAACAATGCGTGATTAATGGTAAAATATTGTAACATGTATTTTATAGATTGTTGTAAGCAATAAACAGCTGTCAGGTAAATTTTGGTCCTAATTATGCTGAGGAAAGCTTGAATATGGTAATGTCATATATAATGGTATCTGTTCCTCCAGAAGCATGAAAGATCATCAACACCATCTAGTGTGATTGATAATTTTCTTTTTAATAATTCATCCTATACATGTTTTGGACTTGTACTCTTCTCCAAGTATAATTAGAATGATCAAGTGAAGGAGGATGAGGTGGGCAGGGCATGTAGCACGAATGGAGGAGATGAATGCATATAGGATATTGGTGGGAAAGCCAGAAAGAAAGACACCACTGGGAAGACCAAGGTGTAGGTGGGTGAACAATATTGTGACATGTTGCGCAATGGAGGACAACCCCTCCCTACCCAGCAGTGACGTGGCAGGTGAGTCAGCGCTCCATCACCCCCCTCCACACGGTGACATAACACGCAACGCAGCTATGACACGGGTAACAGCCAACAGCAGTACCGATTGCGTAACAGGCGGGCGCTGCGACGATATAAGTGAACCACACTGCCTACGAAGCAGTTAACGTGTAGCCGTCGCCGAGTTCAGTAGTTGTCAGTTAAAAGTGTATCAGCGGCCGAAGACAGTTCTCCAGTCAGCAGTGAACGAGTCAGTGTGTGTTAAGGAGTGGCGCCGTGAAATATAGCAGCCACCGAAGACAGTGAGCGTGTGATACAGGGACTCTTACATAGCTCCCGTATCGTAATTAATACGTGTAGCCTACTGAAGATAGAGTGAAAAGATTATTTGCGAATAGGGTTATAAAGTGTGAAACCCCGCAACTGTGTTATAATTAATTGTAGCCGAGACTGGTAGGTTGTTAAATAAACCAATTAGCAATCCAAATGGCGTCTTCAGTAATCAAAACATGTTACAATATTAAAATGTATCTTAGAGAGATAGGATGGGATGGTATGGATTGGATTGATCTGGCTCAGGATAGGGACCAGTGGAGGGTTCTTGTGAACACGGTAATGAACCTTCAGGTTCCATAAAATGCTGGGAAATTCTTGAGTAGCTGCAGAATTTGCAGCTCCTCCAGAAGGGCTCAGGTAAGTATACATGTTTCGGTCGGAGCAACCATCTTCACGACATATCAGTACAATTGGAGACCACTATTACAGTTCCGTTAAAGAGAAGCAGTATAAAGGACATGAACCAAATTGGTTCTAGATTTTTTTAAATTCATGCACATCCCTATAATTGTTAAAAGCTAATATTTTATCTTCATAACATTGTAATGGTGGTTCTAAGTGTATAGGTAGTGACCAGTGACAAATTGTAATAGTGGTTTCCACATGTATTGATATATGTCCTTCTGAAGACGGGCACTCCGACCAAAACTTGTGAAGGATGAGTAAAAAAAAAAACATATCAATCACACTGAATGGCACTGATGATCTTTCATACTATTGCTAGTGTGACGGACCACGATGAACCAAGTCAATTTCCTCCATTATATGATATCCTAGCCCATAATTCTGAAAGTAAATAAATTATCTTTTTTTTTCTTTGCCACGTAATTTATGCAGTTTTGTTTTGCTTAACAGATTTATAGCAATATGAAAATTTGTACTTCCCTTCTAGTTATCGATAAATATCAAATTAGCTGGCCATTTACAGACATGTTGGCTGTTCTCCATGAAGGCTAATTGATGTTTCTCAAGGTCCATTACTTTTCTTCTATGCATATACTGGAAAATAGTTCAGGGCTGGTTTTTTTCCCCCCCAAGTTCAGTTATTTAGTGTGTTTTAGAGATTTTATTCTGTGAGAATTATGAGACTTGAGTGGGTATTTCATGGACATATATAGCTGCTTGAAAGTTTTGGTAGTTTGATTATAATGTTAATTTGATATCACCAAATTAAAGTAAGAAAAGGAAAACTTAGAGAGTTTAAGATTCTGGTACACCTATAAACAATCTAATGACTGCAGACATTATCATCATCCTACCTGATATGTTTGTGCATTCATTGCATAAAGCACAGTGCGGAGGTCATGCCTGTCCACATATTTCATCTTTTATGAAATCTGTTACTAGATTACACAAAAAAAATTGCATGGAATTTATTAGTATTTTCATTCATTTTGGTCGAATATAAGCCCTACTTTACATGGGCCTAAAATTAGACTTCAGAGATTTTTGACAGTAGCCCTTCCATGGGATCTGAGGTTATGAAGAATTGTATTGTCTGGGGTATAATGATATATAGCCTGTTGAAAGTCAGCTGATGTTTCGGTGAAATATATGACCTCTGTCTTCAGGATCAAAGAATGAGCACTCATGCTACCTGCTTCATGTTGTTGTTTTTTTTTTTTGCTTGGCTTTATTCTTCGACCCGGAAGATGCAGACAACATGTGCCTCCGAAACGTCGGTTGTTTTTCAACGGACTCTACGATATTGTAACCCAGCATATAAGCTCCTCAAAGGACCTATTGTACAAAAATATACGAGTAATATATATCACTAGGTATACCCACAGATATCACAAAGACTTGCAGTTCGTTATTTGAATTTTTGATATGACTATATTTTAGAAAATACAAGGAAAATAATGACTCTAAGCAGCAGTGGTGGGATTCTTTCTCTAACAGTCAATTCATTTCTACTAAGAAGAAAGCAGTGTTCTGGGATATGGCGCCGTGTAGATATTGTGTTAACCGACGTTTCGGAGAAACGTGTCGCCTCCATCTTCAAGGTAGAAGATAAATGAAGAGAATCCGCGAGCGAGGAACCAGCACCAGAAGAGTGCTTTCTTCATAGTCACCGCTGTGAAAACCTCAAATCTCATTTCTCCTAGTTTTCCAACAGTAATATTTTGTTGGCTTTGTGTTTCTCACATCAGTGACAATGAAGCATGCTGCCTATTTCGGTTGTTTCTTTGCTTGACTTATTCTTCGACCCTGAAGACAGAGGCGATATGCCCTGTCGGTCTGTTCTTGAACTACCCAGCATTAGAACGCAAAATAACGTACTCTATTGCAATAAACAAACTTGAAGGCCAACAGTATATGCTGTATTGCAAATGAGGCATTTGGAAATTACGTGTGTTCCACGGTTTTTGATTGGATCTACTTACATAAGTCGCAAAACCGGAAATATATGCACCATTTTTGTACCTTTTGTATACGTTACCCTAATTACGTGGCCAGCTCTTTAACCCTGGGACATTTCTATCTTGTTATTTTCCGAGATAAGGCCGAAGCTATGACCAGGGATAAAGAATAATTACACAAGAGTATAGCAAATGCTCTTCGACTGCCAACAATCGAAATACTTGTATACACTTTTATTATAATACCGAGTAGCTCAAACGTGACGCTGATAAAAGGAGACCGAACATTAGCAGAAACACGTCAGTGATGAGAAAAGGAGAGGCGTAGTGTGATCTGTTATCATAGCGTGGGTAAATATTTGCTCACGAAGATTACAGATGGGCGATTAGGAAGAGTCGAAAGGCATTCTGAGAAAGATAGTGAAACTGGACGGATACTGTTATAGAGGAAAGTAACAAGTAAACGTGAGTAGTCTCAGTTGTGTGTTCTTCGCTTTAGCTAGTGAAGTTTGAAAATCAAGGAATTTAGTGCGCGTGCTTGAAGTAAAATTATTGTGAGAGACCTTGAGATTGAGAAGAATTTATTTCTCTTTGTTATATTTTAGCGTCCTGTTGCACTGATTTAAGTTCATNTCAGACCATCTCCTTCCCCTCCATTGTTTGTTAAATCAGTGAAATAAGTGGCATCTTTATCCTTCGTGTGTTACAGTTTCGGAAGTAGAGCTGCCACATGAAAGCTACTATGGCGTGAGAATGTTGTATGATACACAAAATCAGATAACACAATTACATAGATATGAATAGTCTTTTATGTGTATACATAAGATACAAATAGTGGCTAATTTGTATAAGGTTATACGTGAATTTAAGAAGAATTTTTATAATCTTTTTTCTTACTGGAAAGTGCAGTTTCTCATGTTCCTCCGAAACGTCGGTTGACTTTAAACGGGCTACGCGGCGCTATATCCCAGAAGCTAGTCTTTTTTTATATTCACCGCTGTGAAAGCATCAGATCCTGCCTATATTTCGTGCATTTTTTACAAGCCAGTTGTTTAGATCCTTTTCAGATCAGCTTCCTGTCTCTTGTTCTAAATCACTTATTGCACAGTTTTGGGTCCAATTTGGTTCTGAAGTATAAACTGACAAAATAAATATTCTCCTAATTTCTTAGAGATTTCGTCCTATTTATATTTTCCTATAGATCATTAAGATAAATCGTAACACAGATTACATTAAAAAAAATATTTTGATTTTTATTCCTATTATACACTACATGTTCGACCCTAAACGGTCATCGTCATGTGATGTACATAAATGTATTGTCACGTATCGGGGATGGCGTGACTAATAATAATGGGTTCTGGATTTTATGACTGGATTTGCTGGGACTTCCTTACAATTACACTCAATTATGTCAGCTCACAGTCAATGACCGTCTACGACTCGCTCCATTCCTTGTTCGACTGCGAGTGTCTTCTCTTTCACGTGACTGTCTTGGTTCTGATTTACTAGTCTGTGACTTCTTCAGCTTCCGTTGTCCGCTGATTAACACTCCACAGCTGAACACTCAGCTACTGAACTGACTTCTGAATTCTCTTACGAATGAATCTATGACTCCTGTCTCAATATCTCTAATTCAAGTCAAAGTCACATTGCGCCTGACGACTGAATGAACTCCCTTTTATAACTGCGAGAGAACCGAATAGAGAACAACACCTCTAAGGGTTCTACTACTGCTCTTCATGATTGCGTTGTCTCGGAAATATGCATTAACCGTTGCCTAGCAAAATGGATAATTCAGTTTCTGGCTCCACTATTCCGGCTTTTAGGCGGTGTTTACCGAAGCGTTGCTCAGCAATGGTCTGTTCCAGCTTGTTGTCCCGGAAACGTGTTTTAAGAAGCTGTTGTCTAGCAAATGATTATCCCGTAGCACTACATGGTCTGCATTTATTCAAAATATATATAAGGATCCTCCAATTTATGGAGTTTCATGTTTAAAAGATATAAAAAATCGTTACCTGTAAGCGCACAGACCACAATACGCTAGTTCTTGTCGTCATAGATACGCCTTTTAAGTTAATCGGCCTTCAAGAACTCGCGTTTAACTGCGCCCTTGGCTTCAAAGACATACACTGCATTCCAGAAATCAATTCCAGCCATGCACTAACAGTAAAACACCAGAAAGGTTTTCAAGTATCCAAAACAAATTAATGTACAAGTTACGTGTAGTTTAACAAGGATCGTCCGAGAGGGCTGTATTCAAAAATTGTAGGGATAATGTAAGAATGAATAGTGTCAAGTTATATAAGACAAAATAATTCGAACTAAATAGTAAAAGCATAACTCCAAACGTTGAAGACTTCTTGTGTTTTGGACAAATCTTATATCTCTGTGAAATTAAGTCGGATCCGGTCTAATTTTATTATATTATTTCCATCTGCATTTTATGCATTTCCACATTTCAACAAATGTATACTTACAGACTATGTACATATGACTGATTTGCACGCGCCAACTGATGGTGACCGTTTGCAGTTGAAACATGTATTTGGTAATAAGAAATTAAAAAAAAATCAACGTTATTTTGTGTGCTGGTTTATCCTCTGACCTATTTCTCTTTAGGATTTTGAGGTCTATAAAAATATCAGATTCTAAAGACAAGATATATCGCTAAAATTAATCGAAATGTAGCTGTAGTGTACACAAGGACAAGTCGAAGGTTGTTATATATCCCTACGCGTATGTTTTGTTACTTTTTCTCTTAGCTGCCTGATTTTCTGCTGTAAGAAACAGAAAAACTGTATGAACTGTACTTGTGGGAACTTTTGCTTTCCAATAGAAGGCTAGCATTTTGTCGCTACTTGGCCGGCATGAGAGTCCATAGTCAGCACAAGATCCGCGTGATGAGCCACTTCTGTGTTGTATGTTCATGTTGGTACCTTCACTTGTGTAATCTTAATACTCCCACGCCTTATTAGCAGTGGCGGTTTTAAGGAAAGGTGCCATTAACATATGCGTCATAATTGTTTAAACGTGTCAACAGGTGAAAAGAAAATAATGTCACAATTACGTGACTGATGACAGAATTTATTACAAACAGCTTGCCACATGTAGGTGGACAAATACGTAATTAACCTCCATTTTTTGGATTCAAATGTCCCACTAATACGACGTTGTATGCCAGATTTTATCTCGGCGATAATGAGATTCATATTGAAAAAAATTACGAAGTCGGGGCTGCTAAACCAGCGCATGTGCATGTTATATATACATAGTGATCTACTACTTAAAATTCATAAGAAATTTCAGGCCCATTGGTAACGTCTATTCATAAGGCAATTTGCAGTTAAATGAATGGCTTATTGACTTAACTTGATGACTAATCAACTGTCTGCATAACTGGCTAGCTGCTTAATAAATTAACCAAACAAATTCTGTGGTTTCAGTCCGCAGGCGAACAATACCGACTGAGCGACCGCCGCTTGTCTGCGAAGTTAGTGCCAACTTTAGCGGATAGAGGGTGTAATGTGGTCAGTGCAACTAATCCCCACGGCCGTTAATTTCGGTTTTCTAGACCGGAGCCGCTATTTCCTTGAAATAGCTCCTCAATTATCCTCACGAGGCTGAGTGGACCCCGTTCCAGATCCACTACTTCTCAGAAAATCTGGTAGCGCCGGGAATCGAATCCGGATCTCTGGATCTGCAGCCAGGAACCCTGACCACTAGACCACAGAGGAGGCAAAGAAATTAACCAACAAACTGAATTTCTGTCTGAGCTCATGTAACATACGATATTCCGTGATCAGTGTATATTTTTGTAACGTGAAGAATGTAAACGATCATTCTTTGTTTTACGCAATGCAGACAGACCGATTACCACTCATTCTTTCTCCAGCCTCTTCAGTTCCTTAATTTTAATATCTTCCGTTAGTATTACAGCTTCTTTATGGGAGCTTAAACAACATAAATAAATTTGTAAGATTTGAGGCTTTCACGGCGGTGACTATGAAGAAAGTAGTCTGCTTTTACCGGTTCTCATGGTCTCTTTGCTTGCAGATTCTTATATATATATTTTTTTCTTCTACCCTGAAGATGGAGGCGATACGTTCCTCCGAAACGTCGGTTAACACCACATATACACGGTGCCAAATCCCAGATGACTGCTTTCTTCATAAATAAATTTAACGACAAGTTAAACAGCGCCGAATAATGGGATAATAGTCAGTAACTGGATAATATAAAGGACCTGCAAATAATATGACACAGAAATGTGGGCTGGATTCAGATGCTTTCAGAATAAATACAACTGGGGGATCTTGAGAAAAGGTACTCTTAACCTTTCAGTTCCATAAAGCGCAGGGAATTTCTTGAGTTGCCGATTAACTATTAACGCCACTAATATGCAGTTAAGTAGCGGATTAGAAGGGATGTAGAAGGAAGCAGCCGTGACGTAATTCGAGGTATAATCCCTCTGTTTGCCTGGAAAGACTAAAGAAAATCGTAGAACCTCACTAAGAATAGCCAATATGTCGGGTGAGATTCGAATAATATACCTTCAGAAGTGTAACCGGATTGGCTGCTTGTTATCCAGTTAAATTAAGATATATGGAATATAAAATATGTTTGAGGTACCTTAAGATATGTGTGCGCTTTCGCTTACAAACCATAACATTTTTCAAGGTCACGTCTCATTATTCTTATGGCGATAAAGTAATTTTAAATTTTCTCAGCGACCTTAAAGAAAATACTGAATTTTGAACAGATGGGAGAAGGACACTAGTAGACGAGCAAACATACAACATGCTACAGTCACCTGAACAAGAGTTTCTGTAGTGGAACAGTACACAAATATTGGCTCATGCTGTGTAAGAAGCGCGACAAAGGTGATAATTCGAATAATTTTATGGCACCTCGATTTAAAGGACGAAGGTAATAGTTGCGTTTTTGATCTGCCATGTTCTCCGTTAACTGTGTCTTGCTCGAATATTGAAAATACACTATAGCTCCTCTGACAATACTCGTATAGCTGCAAAGTAGGGCGAGATACTCGTACTGCATGCAGCTTGGATTCTGTATAGACGAGTTCATCGCATGGGCATCGCTCCAACTCCTCTTGAAATAGGCGTCTGTAAACTTAGCGTGAATCTGGAGTGATTTGCTCATACGTAAGGTAAGGCAAAGTTGTCCCTATGTTTAACTAATTAAACCCTAAATTATGAAGGCGTATGGGGGAGTGGATGTATAGATCCATATTCTCTTGACCTCTGCATTGGCTGGAGGTGATTGGTCAGCTACATGCTCCGGCCGCTTTAAGTCCCCGGTACACATTGGATGGGAGGTTGGGTGGACTCCAGAGTCGGTTTGAATGACGTAGAGAAGAGAAAATTCTTGACCCTACTGGCGTTCGAATTCTGACCCCTCGGTCGTCCAGCCCATAGGCAGTCGCTATACCGAGTACGCTACGCCGGTTCCTTCGTTCGTAAGTACAGAAAAGGAAATATATAAATAAGCACTGCTGTAAGTGCCATCGTACGCAACTGAGCATTATTAATATCCACTCCATAATATTAGATTACTTTTCCTCGGGAGATTTTTATGCTTGTAATACGAGTATTTTCCCAGACAGATCTCTGGAAATAAACTGAGCAGAAACAAATGTTTAAACAGACTATTTTTCCTTTTAAGTTCCTTTTCCATGTGCTTCCGCCGTTTAGAAATAATCTTCATGAGCCGGGATAATGCAGTCGGTATAGCGACTGAAAGATGGGTCAGAGTTCGAATCCCAGTAAAATCAAGTGTTTTCTCTTCTCCACGTCGTCCAGACCAACTCTGGGGCTCACCCAGCTTCCCATCCAGTGGGTACCGTTGGGTCTTTCCCCGGGGGTAAAGCAGTGACCACTTACCTCAAATAGTGCTGAAGTCAAGAAAATGTGGATCTATAAATCCACTCCCCCATACGTCATTATGGCGTAGTGCTTAATTAGTTAAGCACAATTTTATTTTTTCTTTAATTCATTAATCGTTTTTATACATGATTAACTGGAAAGAGTTCTGTCTTCTGGGATACGCCGTGTAATTTGGTGAAAGATAACCGACGTTTCGGGAGAACATATGTCTTGCATTTTAAAAGTCAAAGAATAAGCCAAGAAAGAAACAGCGTTAAGAATCTAGAGACGATATATTTTTCCGAAGTTTTGGTAGACTTTAATATGATAGTTTATCCCAGACGATAGAAACGTACTTGGTCACGTCTGTAAGCGCTTCTGATCCAGTAGGGTTTACTGCAAATCACTGTTAGTGCATTTTGTGTGACACTGAAGTATAGTGTGACGTCCTGGAAATCTTTCATTTTTATTTTTAGCTACATTCCCAGTGCATACTTGTCTAAAAGCGAAAGTGTCATGAAAAGGTAAAGCTCTCCGTGTAACAGGCTGTGGAGGCCCATAGGCTTGTGAGACGTCGAGGCTCCCACATCTTATAGATAATCGGCTCACAGATGCAGTGAGGTTGTCAGCCTTACGCGTCGGTCACCCTTTACCCCCCAGGAAGATTCCCGGTACTCATTTCTGTTAGAGGCTGAGTCGACCCCTGGGCCATTCAGTGATTCAGTGATTCAGTATTGAGGGGGTGGGTTTCCCCATGCACCGCGACTTTTTGATAGTCTATTGTACGTCCCCCTTTTAATTTATACTGTCTCCATACCCTACCGGTACTGGTGCTTACTATCAGCCCCTTTCTGCCAGCGAGATTCCAACCTCTTACTGGCAGTGGTATCTAATAGTTAGTCCCTTTCTGTCAGCGAGGTCGTCCCTCCTCTGGCAGGGGTTCCTAGTCCCTTTCTGCCAGCAAGGTTTCTACCCTCTACTTGGCAGTGGTATCTAATACTTTAGTCCCTTTCTGTCAAAGAGGTCGTCCCTCCTCTGGCAGTGGTACCTAATACTTCCCCATTTACCGGAGGCATTGGAAACTACTTTGGGCGGAAAATGTTGGGCCTAATTTAGCTCAGCGGTCTCTTAGAGACATGAGGTTCTTTTACGTGCCGTAAATCTACGACACGGGACACAAGGCTTAAAGTCCCTCCCGGAGGACTTGTTCCCTGAATTTTGCCGCCCTTAAAAATTCCACGACCTCCGCCGGGTTTTTGAACCCCCGTACCTTGAGTCATGAGGTGGGAACGTTACCCCTAGACTACGGAGGCCGCTGACCCCATGGCCATAGTGCGGCTAGAAGGATTATGTAAATTGAAAAATCCAGTGACCTCTTCGGGATACGAACTCTGACCTTACGGCTTGTAGGATAGTGCCTCAACCAACTATGGCATGCCCCCGGAATTTTCATAACTTTTACGTTTAAATGAATATAACTTACACGCTTATACACTTGGAGATAAATTCAGTATTTTCAATGTCACATTACAGTGATATTTTCATAGAACTCAGTGCTTTGGTTGTGGAGATAAAGCTGGTAAAGTGGCAAACTAACTCGAAGAGACGTCTTCGTGAACTACGTCACCAACAATGTTCAGTAGTCTGTGCTTTCCTTTTCAGAATATTTTTCTTTGTCTCGCATGTGATTATTTAGCAATTAGACTTGGGGTGACTGGATGAATTAGAGTCCTTATTTTCGGGTTTCGAACACAAAACATCCAGCACCCAGAACCTACGAAATATTAGTGAAATATGCAGATACATTTGGATAACACTCGGCAGGCACAAGGCTTTTGCAATTTATGGTAAAGTTGTTTATATTATCTGATGACATTATATCAACTCAGATGAGACTACGTGAGAGATTATTACTTATAGAAATGACTCCCAATTTTCTTTTGTAAATGATATCAAATTTGAAACCGCAAGCACCTTGTGGCCAAAATGCTACCGGGAACTACTCAGCACCTCAACAAAAGAGTATTAAAATATTG